AGTGGAAGCCTCATAATTTTATCTTTCTGGAAGGGGTTATGTTTGCTCTGAGCTTTAGTTTGAGAGCCTTGCCCAAGTGCAAACAACTTTACTGCTCAGAGGATGTACCTTGCACTGGAAAGTCAGGGACCTAAGCTCTTGCTTTGGCTGTCACCACTTCTGTGGCCTGGGAAAGCCTCTCTGGGTCTCTCAGTCCCTCATTTGTAAAATATAGAGTTTGGGTTATATGAGCTCTAGAATGCTTTTGACTCTAAAATCCTTTGATACTACCTGTTTCCACTCCTGAATCATGAGGAATCTAAAATTATTCCCACCTTTACATTAAAAGCCACACCTAAGCCCTATGGAATTTGATCAACCTTACCTTTTTGTGTGAATGTCGACAGGCCTTCTCTGGTTTGTTTGGGATAATTGGAATGATTTAGTTTTCCTTTCAATGATTTCAATTATTACCTCCCATTTGTCATTCTACCAAAGCAGTAATTGGCACATGGTTAAAGGGGATCTATGACTCAGTTCCTTTGGGTCCCTTTTCAAGTGTTACTTTGAAAATCTCTCAACCTCCTTCCCTCTATCACTCATTCAGAGTTGGACGAGATCCATGGACTCTATCTTCCTTTGCTTCTCATGGAAGTGGGAGAAAGGTCATAGGGTCTGCTCAGGACCAGGGAGCTGCATGGATGGGGGAACATTTTCTTTAGGTAGAGGGAGGGAAATCTGCCAGATTGCTGACTCCACCATAGCAGGTGACACGGAGTTAGTTGCAACTTGACTCCTCTTTCTACTGTGGGGTTAGTGTTGTGTTGTCTAGGCAAAGTTCTCTGGACATGTCATGGCAGCCTATCCCTTACCTTCTTCTGCTTGCATGCCTGCACACCCAGAATGGAGAATCAAGAGATCAGCTTTCTGGCTGCTGTTGAAAGGATGTCCTGTTTGTGAGAGGCAAGTGGCCTGCCTTATTCTGAAAATTGCCCTTATGTGCAAAGCTGCAGAATGCATAGTTATTTGTTACCTGCACTTAAGGAGCATGAGGCCCAGTGTCACATTACTTTGTTTCAAACAGACATTTTCTCTTTCACATCCACTGTTTCCCACCCTCAATCACTCAGCACCATTTATGAAGCATTTGTCTTATGCATGAAGGAACGATTGAAAAGGGAGAAAAACTATGATCTCTGGTATTGAGGACTAAAAAATTGCTGAGAGAAGACTGGAGAATACATGAAAACACTAAGCACTACAAAGGCAAGTACAAAGGAATATAACAGAGTATTTTCAGACATGCGTAAGAGTTAATTGCCATGGATAGATGGATAGAGTTAACCAGAGAAGGCTTCTGAGAAGAGTAGTCACTGAAAATTTAATTGAATATTAAGATACTTACCTAGAGAACCCAGGGACAATTTTACAAAGGATTTAAGTCATTAAAGAAAGTCTCACAGAATCATATTCCAGAAAACACAAAAGAGGTAAACTAAAAAAATCACAAGGCATGCTGTGTGAAAAGGGCTTCAACACAGAGGGGAGGAGGAAGTTGAACAAGGGAATATCTGAAGGCCACACTGAGGAATTTGGATCTGATAAAATTTGCCACCGGGAGTCACTGAAGTTTCTTAAGAATGGAAATGGTGTAGGAAATTGTCTGAGGAACAGTAATTTTCCTATTAGATATAAACTAATATGGAAAAGTTAGTGGCAAGGCCCAGCTTAAAGCTGCAGCTGTGGAAATGAAGTTCCAATGAACTGAAGTGATGGGATGGAACCAGTTAGAACTTGATCTTGGCTTGGACAATAATAATAGCCACCATCTACTGAATGCCTTCCATGTACTGAGTCTGAAAACTTGTTCCATGAACTAATGAATTCAAACCTAAACAGAACTGTCTAAAAGAAAGTTAAATAACTTACTTAAGGCCATTGCAGCTATACATGAGAAATTTGAATTTGAATCCAGGTATTCTGATTCCAAAGCCACTTAACTGTGATGCTAGACTGCATCTCTGAAATCAAGAGTAAGGAAGAATATTACTCTAGTGCAGTGGTTGAGAGTATATCCTCTAGATTCAGTCCCTGGGATGTCATCCTGCCTATGATACTTTCTAGCTATACAATCCTGGCAGTCCACTTAAAACTCCACCCTCCTTTTCCTCATCTATGAAAAGTGCTATAAAATGTAAATGTGTTATAGTATATACAGTACTGAGCCCAGGGGTTGGCAGATAGCAAATATTCAAGAAATATTAACTATCAATACAAAATGTTATTATCATCCTGTCTTAGAACCTGCCAGAATACGTAGTAATTGCCAGGATAAAAAAAAAAAAAAAGGAGAATTTGGTTTAAGATTATTTACAAAGGACTCACAAATCCTTTGCTTTTGAGTTACAAGCAGATGTAGGGATCAATAGAATTTTATCGAGGGAGGTGATGAGGAATTGGGGGAAGTTCCTAAGACAACAATTAATTGAAAATGCCAATTTTACAGAGCATTGCAGAAAAATCATTCTGGAAACAAGGGCAATTATACAAATATCAAACCTGTAAATTATATACCTGAAATGAAAATAATGTCACATGCCAATGACACTTTAACAAAAACTTTTTTGAAAAAGATGTGAGTGAAAGGGTGGGAAGTTAAGACTTTGGTTAGTGTAGAGCCTTGTGGGTTGTGGGCAGGGAGGACTAAGATTGAATTTTATGAACTTATATATTGAGCATGAATTTAACTTCCCTTTTGGTTTCCTCTTTTCATCTTCATTAATAGACTATGTGCATATTGAGAAGTAATTTATGCTGAAACCTTTCTTCAGAACTGTATGTAAATGGGGTTAGAGGAAATTTTCAAAGATCACTGCTTTAAAAAAGTACAAAACACAATAACATGATTAGTGATTGTCATTGTTCATAGATCAGTCAGAGATCTGCTAGTTCTCTGAAATCCTTTTCTCCCTAAAGAAGTCATGGGCCTCCCCTGGTGGCGCGGGCGCCCGCAGTCTCTGCAGCACCGGTTCAATCCCCGGCTGCTGCCAAGGGTCCCACATGGCGCACAGACCTCTCCTGCTGCGCTCACTGCTCCCCTCAGCAGTGCATTTCATCAGTCTGACTGTTCTGTTCCCCGCTCTGGCTCTGGTGGGTTCTCTCACTCTCCTGCGCTTCTGACTGTACCCAGTGCTTGTAGTTAAAAAAAAAAAAAAAAAAGTTAAAAAAAAAGGTCTTTGTGCTCCATTGTGTGATAACTATTTAGGAGCTGAGTCAAACAAGGAGTCTTATTTTAGTTTTCTAAATAACCAAGTCTGGGCAGGCCTATGTTTTCACTAAATGGGAGGGATAAGTGGTTGAGCTTATTCACATGTGAGCTGTCTAAGTCATCCCATAGTAAAGGATGGCTCACTTAAGTCTCCCAAATGACAGAGACTGCAAACATGGGGCAAGCAGTGATTGGAGACTCTGCCCTTTGAATTCACTCTGTATTCTGCATTGACCAAGTGATATTGAGTAAAGGTAGTCAGAATCATTAGTGATATTAATGCTTTACAAATAACTCTCACAAATATTTATTGACCATGATATTTTTATAGAACACAGTATCTGGTACACACTTGATGTGTAAATTTTGGTGAGTCCGAACCAGGGTTTGAACTATAGTTTGCCAGTGTACAGCAATTAACTGTATTTAAAAAAAAAAAAGATTTATTTATTTATGCATACAAGAACTGGGATACAGCAAGAGGTGTGGGGGTGAGAGGATTCACCAGAGATAGAACGGGGAACAGAACAGGCATATTGACTGAAATATACTGCTGAGGGGAGCAGCGGGCAAGACAGGAGAGGTCTGCTACACCATGTGGGTTACCTCCCTGGCAGGGGATCGAACTCGTGCTGCAGTGGCTGCGGATAGCTTCATAATGCTGCGTCTTAACACCTTGTGCCACCAGGGAGGCCCCAACTGTATTTTTTTGGCAAAATTCCACTATATCTATAGAGTGAAAGGATAAGTAAGAAGGAATAATTAAATATATTGGATATATTTTGGATTGGATATATTTTCTTTCTTCTGTTTCCCTCTAAGAAACAGAAGAAATTTGTTTCCCTAAGAAATCCTGGCTCCAGTTCAGCAAGGGTAAAGTAATTACTATAACATAGCAATGATTGGTGTCTGTGAGCTCATGTTGAGTGGTTGTCACAGAATTTGAAAGGGCAAGGCATATTTCATGTACTAGTCCTCAACTATCTCCGTCAAGCTGTCACCATAGAGACAGAAAACTTACAGACTTCCTTATAATCATTTTGGAAGGGAAATGTCTATTTCTAACTGAGACTTGGCCTCTCTGGAATAGAGTTTAAAAAGAGTTTCTTACTGTCTGCTACGTAGTGAGGAATTTAGGACAAAATATGGAGCAACCTTATGTGGTAAGATCATCAGCAAATTTTAAAAAAAGATAAACTTACTTAGATTAGCACAAAGCTAGATCCTACGTTTTAGTTATGACCTGGATACAACTTAGAAACTCTAGAAGTTACTTATCTTCATGCTCTGTGGCTTGACTCCCTCTGGGGTGTGGTTGAATAGTCTTTTGCCTTTATTATTCTCAACACCTACAGAGCAGTCACCACCCTGAGATCAGATCTCCCACAGTTAAGTCATAAAATCAAATATCAGTTACAAAAAAGAATCTGGTTTAGCAATTTTTTTAGCTGCATTTCCTTAAGTCCTTATAGACAAATAAGATGAAGCACGTCTTTATAGGTTTCCATTTTTGCCTCCACTGCAGTACCAATCAAATTGCTTCTTTAAAGAATCTAATTTTGTTTTCTAGAAAGATGAGAAATTTAATCTGTCAAATAGTCAATGTTAGTGCTAATTCTGAAACCTAGTAGAACCCATGGAAAAGACGAATTTATATCAGTCTGATTTACCTCTTGGAACATTAATTCTATAAGGAAGGCACTTTATTAAATTCTGCTGACATTTAAAGCTTATAAAATGCATTTGCTTGGTACTTTTAAACCACATTAAACATTTTTCTTTGGATGCTTCCAAAACTGCATTAGAATTTATCATATTTGAAAACACGTACCCTTAGATACCACAGTTTCACTTCAAGGAATTTCTTTCTCAAAATACCCTCATTAAATGAAAGTCCATTCTGAACTTGAGGCTTCTCTCAACTTAATTCTTGTATTTGGCTCCACGAATGCCAGGCAACAGATCGACAGTTTCTCTTCTGGAAAAATTTAACGGCACAAGAAAAAGGAGATTTAGTGTCCTACAAAGAAGTAAAGAGGTTCCAGCTTGATAACCTCAAAGTGTATAGCAGGGGACAAGTCCCACTTGAGTACACAAAGCTATTATGGGAAAATCACTTAACATTTGAGGGAAAACAGAGACAATGCAAGAAGATAAATAAATTACACTCATGAAAGATGAATAAATAACAATGGAATGCTATAATAAAAGGAATGATCAGGGGCCTCCCTGGTGGTGCAAGGGGTTAAGATGCAGTCTATGAAGCTATCCGCAGCCTCTGCAGCATGAATGTGATCCTTGACCAGGGAGCTACCCACATGGTGCAGCAGCCCTCTTCTGTCTCTGGTGAATCCTCTTACCCTACACACCTTTGGCCTGTACCCAGTTCTTGTATGCATAAATAAATAAATCTTTAAAAAAAATAAAAAGGAATCATCAGAAAATAAAAGGAGTTCTTGGAAATGAAAAATATGATCGCTGAAATAAGAAATACATAGAATGGGAGGGAGGAATGCCCACATGGCGCAGCAGACCTCTCCTGTCTCGCCTGCTGCTCCCCTCAGCAGTGTATTTCAGTCAATCTGCCTGTTCTGCTCCCCACTCTGTCTCTGGTGAATCCTCTCACCTTCCCACACATCTGGCCTGTACCCCAGTTCTTGTATGCACGAATAGATAAATCTTAAAAAAAAAATAGATAGAATGGTTGAAAGATAAAGACAAAGAAACTACCCAAAAGGTAGATCTAAGAGATGACATAGAAATAGACAATAGAAGAGAAAGAGGGTTTGTCCAGGAAAATCAATATTGTTGAGAAATGAAAAGACACAGAGAGAGAGGCACAAACACAAAGAGCAGACTCTATCAGTCAGAGTCACATTCACCCCATATGGTTCAGAGGCAGAGATTTTTACGAAGGTACTATTTAAGGATATGTGAACAGGAAGGATTAAGGAAACAAAAAATAGTGTAGTGTCCAGCAACAGTGAGAAACTTACATTCCCAGGGCTGATGGGGCAAATTTGGAGAAGGTAGTGTAGATGGAGCCTGGCAAGAAATGAAGGTCAGAAGGAAGGGCCCCTCATTGGGAGAGAGAATCACTGCCTGAGAGATAAAGTTCTCCATCAGGGAAATAGTTGGGGAAAATATTCCGACTTCTCTCTTTTCCTATCATCTGATCTCATATTGACCAAACCTAAGCGAAACCTGCCAGGGCAGACTGGGTGATATAATCTATAGAGTCCACAGGGGTCATTCTCTCAAGGCAGGGCGGGGTAGGGATAGTATGTGAAGAGAAATAAATTATTAAAGAATATACAATATTTTCCCACCTGGAAAACATCTGGGGTCCATCCCAGGAAATTAAAAAAAGGAAAACCCAAAAAACTCTACATAAGACACAACAGAATGAAATTTGGGAACACCATTAACAAAGAGAAGGTCCTAAAGATTTCCAGAGAGGAAAAAACAGACCATATGTAAAAGATCAGAAATCACATAGCTTTGGATTGATAAACAGCAACACTGAGTGCTCTGTGAAGGCAGAACCATGTTTTCAAACTTCTGAGGAAATATTCTCTGCCAAATCATCAATCAAGTGTAAGAATGAATGAGACATTAGCAAACATGAAATGTCTCAGAAACTTCACTTTCTACACTCCCTTTCTTAGGAAGCTATTACAAAACAAAGGAGTAAATAAGGCAAAAAAAAAAAACCTGGAAGATTTTGGGTTGAAAAAACATGATGTATACACATTAAGGAAGTGGAGGGAAATCCTGGGCTGACAGCTAACTATGCTCTAGAACGTATCTAGTTTAAACAGAGCAAAATATCCCCTTAAGATACCTTTAAGGGAAAGAAAAACCCCAATTAATCATTTTCAGAGAGGTTTAACAAATCTTTGGAAGGTTTGAGGAAGTACAATGAAAATAAAGCCAATGACTTCTTAAGAAAATCAGACTTCTAATGCTATTTGATTTCTTAAGCTATTTATAAATATTGCAAAAGATATTGCACCATTGTATGCAAAATCAAAATGAAAATTTCCAACAGTAGGAGACTGGTTAATTTATGATACTCCCAAATGATACAATTCTTTTTATCCTTTAAAGGGAATGAGGGAGAATCTAGATGTAAACTGAGTAAAAAGATGTTTAAAGAAAAAGTTTTACTTTTCTTTTTTTTACTCACTCAAAACTTGTATCCAAAGTGTAATGCCATTCTTTAAAGTAAAAAGAAAAAAAAAATTCTTAGAAACATATATGGTTTTTTAAGTAGAAAAGTGAAGGATTGGAGAACTGTGGATTCTGATTTGCTAATTAAAATTTTTTGTATTGAATTGTTTATCATGAGGGTGGATTTGTATGCTCAGAAAAATCAACATGGGTGAATTATTAATAAAATTACTTTGGGACTTAGGAATCAATTTTTCCATACTTTCAGTTAACAACATTCATCTATCAAACTATTGTGTTTGGTATTGGAGACAGAGATGAATAAAATATATTTCCTGTCTTCAATTTTATCACAGTTTAGTTGAATGATTTCTAAACTGCCCTGTGCTCCAGGGTGGAATAAATGCTTGATCTGACTTTTGTTATTGAAATACATTTTTAAACCTGTAATAAAAATAAATTACTTTAATATAATAAATTTTAACACTTTGGACACCACTAGTTAATGGCTACTATCAGGAAAACTATATATTTATGTAGCTATCAGCATTAAGTTTTTCCTGCCATTTCCTGAGCATACTTGAATCTATTGTAAACACGTCATTACTTTGAAAGGCTCCATCTTTACACTGATCTTTTTAAAATCTATGCCGTGTGTGTGTGTGTGTGTGTGTGTGTGTGTATATACCTATAACAAAATCTGTAGATGACTATGCAACCACAGTCAAGTATGCACTGAATACAATTAACATATGGCAAAGTTCAAGTTTATGTTTAATATACATTCTTATATGCAGCACCAAATGCATGAATAACATGTCAATAAGGATAGATACTGTTTTGCAGATCTTAGATTTAGATATTTTCAGTTTTCAGTATTTGTGTGATTTTAATTATAATAAAGCATGTGAGTTGTTATTGGCTATTTTTGGGAATTAAGGTTTAAACATATTTTTGTGGACACTTTAAAACAGATACAAAGTAAGCCACAGAATAATGAACAACTCTATACTTATCACCCAGACTTAACAATGATCAACATTCTGCCAGTCTTGTGTCATCCAAATCTCCATCTGTTTCCCATTTGCTTATTTTTTCCAATAAACATATTCTATTACTATTTCAAGTTTCTAAATCTGCCTAGTTGAAGAGCAATTAAAAGAATAGTTACCATTTGCAATTATCTTTGTTGATCAAGATTTTTCCCCCAGTATTATTCAATATAAACAAAACACAGAAATATTTTTTTTTAGGGCGGCAGGAGAGGTCTGCGTGCCATGTGGGACCCTCGCCCAGCAGCCGGGGATCGAACCAGCGCTGCAGAGTTTGCGGGCAGCTTCGCAGCCCAGCGCTCAACCGCTGTGCCACCGGGGAGGCCCCAACACAGAAATATTTTGGACACCGAAGCTTATATGAAACAGCAATTATCATTTATAAATACAGATTTCAAATTTTAATGGTCACCAAAATAACCTGGTTTTTTGATATTGATTTTTACATTAAGTATTCCCACTAAAACTAATAAATGAACATGCTTTAAAAACTTCAAAAATTGTACAAAGAATATGCATAAAAACGAACATGCTTCTATCGCTACCCCTCCCAGTTCCTCTTTTCAGAGGCCAGTTTCATGGGAGAATTTCCAGAAGGACCCTATGCATGCACATACAAGCATATATGTAACATAAACCTTAAAGAGAAAAGCAAAGCCCAATTGGCAGTGTATGCTTTTCTGTACCTTCCTTTGTTCAAGTAATGTGTCTTTAAATAGTAGATTGAGCAGTCTCTGAAAAGATACAAAAACCGCTGGTATAATGGGAACATATTTCTGACAGCACAATATCAATTAACAAAGGGAGGAGGGAGCCAATATCTATCTTGCTTTTGGGAACTGGTAAAGGTCATCTGTTTGAGCTGAATCTTGATGAAAAGCTTGCATAGCAGTAAAGTAGATTGTTTTAAGTGGTAATACTCATCAATTCCAAACTCAATTTATTGGTTTTTCTTTCTTCACAGCCTATGTTAATTGGTAGGTCCAAAATATCCAGCACTGTCTGTTTATTATGGTGAGAGAAGGCTAGAATGTAGGCCAGAAGATATGAGTTCCAGTTGTAGGCAACACATATACTCTCTTTAGTCTCCTCATTTACACAATATCTGCTGAGACTATCTGCTGAACTAAAATACCACCCAATGGCAAAAAGACTCTTCTTGGAATTAAAAGACATGGGCTTGAAATCATAGTTTTGCCATTGTCAATGTACAGTTGCTAAACCATTCATTCCACTGAAATTAGTGAGTATGGGCCGTGTACCAGACACCGTGCTAGGCATGATGATACAACGGTGAACAATACAGGTGAGAGCTTAAATTGAAATGCGTTTGAACATTGTACTAAAGCTAAGAAGTAGTGGTAAGTTCACCCACACAACTACAAATAATATCTATATGCCGAAAACTCTCAAATTCATGTCTCCTGGCCTGACCTCTTCAAACTTGAATCTTATATAGTCATTTTTGAAGACTTCTTTTCAACATCTAAGCAATTCATAAGAAACTCAAACATAATGGTTTTTTGTTGTTTTTTTTTTTTTTTTAATCATAAGGCTTTTCATCCCTCTTCTCTTTCCCATCTCTACAAACAGATCACTGTTCACCAAAGTGTTCAATCTGCAGACCTGGGGGACATCCCTCACCCTCCTCCCTCACAAATTAGTTCTACCTCAGAGGTGGATATAGAATCCACTCAACTGTTTTCCTCTCTGCTGTCCCCTTACTCAGACTTCTTTGTGATAGATTTCTCGT